TCTCCTGGGCCTGCTATGGCCCATTCCTCCTCTACACGTGTCTCAGGGACAGCAGCTGCTGGGAAGGCCGAGCTTGGGGCCCCTGTGCCTGAGGACTAGCAGAAGCACAGGTGCAGCTTTTTCTCCGACATCCCAGAGCTCTGGGCTCAGTGAATAGTTGACATATTGGTACATGGGTTGCTCCACTGTGTCTTCTACGTGTGCCCTCAGAAGACTTCCCAGCATTCCTACAGGGCTTCCTCAGGTAGGACTCTACCACCTGATCATTCACAGTAGTTGAGAGCACTGGCATCCTTCTGCCCCTCTCCAAAGCTGTGATGGCCTGAATAAATCTTTCTTCATAAATCCTAGAAATCAAAGAATACCCACCCAGACTGAGTAAAGGCCTCCTCCTTAACAAGGGGATCTTTTCTGAGACTTGTTGCTTTGCTGTTGAAAATCCATTGTGGGGCTAGAGAAATGGCTCAGCAGTTAAGAGCACTCACTGGCTGCTCTTGCAGAGGAGCTGGGTTCAGTTGCTTGCAACCATCTGTAACTCCAGTTCTGGGGGGATCCAGTGCCCACTTCTGACCTCAGTAGGCATGTGGTATAAAACACTCATAAATTTTTTAAGAAAACTTTTAAACATCCATGTTAAGCTCAGTAGAAGGATTTGTTCTGGCTGTGATAATTTTTCAATCCCCCATTTTTCTCCACTGAGGCTGTTACCTGGAGGCTGTTGAGGCTCTGCACACATTGCACACACTGCAGTGAATCCTCAGTGCAGCAGCAGCAACTGTGGTTGTAGCTTGAGAATCTGCAGTGGAGACCCCAGAGACCTAGGGCATTGCAAAAGTTGGTTGGCAGAAGCTCAGAGCAGCCTCCTCAGTGTTTGTGTGTGTGGTTTTGTTTTGTTTTTTTTGAGGGGGGGGTTCTTTTTGAGATAGAGTCTCCCTGTAGTCCCACCTGGCCTGGAATTCACTATGTAGACGAGGCTACCCTGGAACTCACAGAGATCTGCCTGCTTCTGCCTCTGCCTCTGCCTCCTGACAGGTAAGCGTCACCACGCTGGGCTAGTGTTTGTATCTTAATAACACTTCTGTGACTCAGTTGGTGATCTTTGCCTAGCGTGAATGAAGCCCTAGGTTTCACCCTGGCACTGTGGAAACCAGGGATGTGGCTTATCTGCAATCTCTAGCACTCAGGAAATGAGACAATCAGAGGTTCATGATCATTCTCAGCCAAATAGTGAATTTGAAGCCAGCCTGGGCTATGTGAGACCTTGTCTCAAAACAGCTATGTGAGGGGAAGAATAGAAGTGATGGCCTGCTGTGAGGCTCCCAGACTTTGAGAAGGCCAATCCCAGATGGCAGTTTGGCAGTCAGCCTCAACTTGTCACTTACACTGCAGTCAGGTATAACTGTCAGAGGGAAGAACTTGGCATAGACAGGCAGGGGAGAAGAAACCACACTGTTGCTCTGCCGTCATAGGGATTCCCACCACTGATTTGTCATCATTGGCCTTTCTAGGTGGGCTCTGCCTGTGCTTCATGGTTGGAATGGGCAAGTCTTGAACAGTTCATGTCAAGAGAGATTATTAGGCTGTTTGCTGTGTGCCAGACTAACAGCAAATAGATGATTAATAAGACAGTGAGGCCTTGATGCTAGGGATATAGCTCAGTTGGTAGAGTACTTGCTTAGCATGCATGAAGCCCTGGGTTCAGTCACCAACACCACATAAAAACAGATGGTGGTGCACGCCTTTAGTCCCAACACTGAGGATGTAAAGACAAGAGAACTGAAAATTCAAATTCATTGTCAGTTACATAACAAATTCAAGGCCAGCCTGGGATGTATGAAACTCTGTCTCAAAAATACAACAGAAAAACCATGTAAGTGCTTGTATAGAGCAGTCTGTCAGCCTCAGCATGCTGTTTGAGGTTGGATTATTCTGTGTTGTGAACAAGAGGTTTAACAGCCCTGGCCTCCTGCCAGCAGATGCCAATAGCTGTGTCCCCAGTTATGACAACCAAAAATGTCCCCAGACATTACTAGATGTTCTCTGGAGGCAAAGTTATTCACAGGTGAGGACTACTAGAGGAAAAGAAGAACATGCCCAGCACCCAGAACAGTGAGGAAGTGGGAAAGTGCTTCCCCCCCCCCCCCCCCCCCCCC